TTAAACCCTTATACCTACATAACCCGTTTGACACAATGTTCTTAACATACCCTGTTGAAAATTAAAACATTTTAGAAAAAAATTGCACTTTTTTTACCTTCAGCTGTTTAGAAGTTATAAGCAGGTTAATTAGGTGAAAGTATAAGTGTATACTCGAGGAATAACTTCAAAAAATATTTTAACTGTCTACTAAAAGAAGTGATACGCCTATGGATTACGAACGCTTTATTATTTTAATACTCTCTCATACATAAAAATAGACTATAAATCTAGCCGACCTACAGCAGGGTGGATTTTCGTGTAAATGTTGTACATCACTTAGATACAGTTTCTCTAAGCTTTTTCTTTTCTGCTCAATGATGAATCAGAGCGTCACTGGTAAGTAATGGTGATGGTACATTTTTATGGAATCTGGTAGGTACATTTTTTAGACAAATCTATTACATAACAAAAAATATTCTGGCAACATTGGTTATAGGTCAGTAGATTACATTTTCTTCGGAATTTTAACACTTTAACAACAAAGTTTAAAGTTTTAATTGTTTTCGGTATCATAAACTATTAAATGGAATAAGATCTGCTTAATTTAGCTAGTTTAGAGTTTATGTATTCTAAAAATGATATTTCATTAATAAACATTGAGTGTTAGTGAATTAGTTTAATGTGTATTTATGTGATTTAACAGCTATGCTTATGTTTTACATATTACCGTTTTTAACTTTGTGTAATAAAAATTATCAATGATATTAACATTAACATAGATGTGAGGTACATAATCAGGATAAAACTCAACGACTGGGTAGGATAGCGAGCTTTTATTGGCTAAAATCACAAAATTTTACAATTTTGACCGATTAAAAAAATAATCGCTGACAAAATAGGAAACGCGGTCGTTTTTAATGTTATTCGGCATTATTCGCCTCGTTTTTATTTGTTTAAATATACCAATTAAGTTAACTTAATATTTTTTAACGGTAAATGAACTTGCGTCGTCTTCGTAGCAACAACTCCTAATTTTCTGCAAATTGTAAATGCGAAAGTTGTCGGCAAGTCGGAATTATGAATTGGAAATTCAACGTAAGATGTTTAAACACAACTCCATTCTCCTAATTGATAGAAATTAGCGGAGCACTTTCCTTTGAACCGAAATGGTTCGGATGGATGGATGGATGGATGGCGTGGCGTTTGGAAAGGGAACTCGGGAGATCTGGCAAAAGGGAAAGGGGAAAAGGAACGGAAAAGGCAACCAAAAGCGCAATTCGAGCTTATTATTCTTGTTCCGCCACGAAATAGCTTCTTAATTTTGCGAAAAACTTGTTAACCGCAATTTAAATTTGTGTGAAATTCTATTCGGATCTCTTTGCGTCGCGTTCCCTTTACTTTCGGGGCCTTTGGAGTTTTGGAGCACCTTTGAAGATGAAATGGAAGAGATTATTAAAAGATAACTTTATTATTTACATCAATTATGGCGATTTGGTTTGTTCGCTAGACTTGTCTTGCAGTGTTTTCGTATTTCCCATCGGTTCTACATCATTTAGCTGTTAAAGAAGTACAATATTTGACTATTTCGTAAATTCTAAACCAAAGAAGTTTCTTTTAATTTGAAAATAGTGGGTTTGAAATTGTGAAGAAAAAAATCTATCTACATTTTTGCTTTCGAGAGATTTAAAAATAGCCAATATATTTAAATTCTATCTTTGGTATAAATTGTGCAGCAATCTCGGAAAGTCTACTATACTTTTTCTACTTAAAGATACCTATAGCTTCACTTGATTTCAATAAAATTTAGGATAAATATACTAGACATAATTTTGAATTCTTACTTATACTTAAACAAAATGGCTGACTTCCGGTTTTACCGGAACACTTAGTATATTTTATATTGTTTGGAATCTACGGTCCAAATTACATATGACGGTGTTGTAATATTTCCAGTTTCCCCAAACAATTTTTTTCTTTAGCTAGAAGGCCATGAAATGGAAAATAATATTCTAATTGCTTCGAATTACTTGAAACAAAGGTTATTATTCCAATTAATTTTAAAATAAATTTTTCAGAAAAAAAATTAAAACGTGTTTTTTTTAGCAAAATCTCACTTTTTTAAATGACACCTATTGAGGGTAATTTCGCCAATACCAATCTGACAATATGTACCATGCAACACTTAGAATATTATTTTACAGTCCATGGACTTCTACATAAAAATAAATTATTATAAAAAAAACACTGTCATATGTTATTGAAACTCTAGATTCCAAAAAAACATAAAATGTACAGGGTTATCAATTTAAAACTTGATTTCCAGGTAAACCCGAAGCGTCAATTCAAAATTATGTCCATCACTTCATAAATAAAAGAAATATTAACGTTATTTCATTCTACTTATTTGTTACTGTAGCCTCATTAATGATTTTGGAGCCTACCCTATGTTGACCATACTTGTACTTATCATCATATTCACTGCGGTTGTCGGGTCGTAGAATAGGCAACTCAGCACACAGCAGAGTCGTAAAAGACGAAATAAGTGTCTTTGTTGCTGCCTAGTATGGATGTACGTAGTAAATTGTCTTTACTATAACTTTGTTACTTTCCTTTAACTCTTTCTTTCCAATTTACCCTTCTTTTTTCGACTAGGTGTTATGTATGGTCTACTAACGTCTATTTACTTCAAGTACTATGGGTCTAGAGTCATTACCTTTCATTCTACTGTTCAAATTCCGATGTATAATAGTTTTCCAAAACCAAAAGTAACTATGCATTATTAACAATTATATGATTAAAAGAACTTAGTACATCAAATATAAAATTAAAAGTTAATTACAAATATACAACAAAGTACCAATAAATAAACTAAAAAGTGATCCACAAAAATGTTTTTAAAGTAGGACATGTTATTGAAATATAAGTGTACACATTAAAAGGGGGTGATATCCAAAAGGCACCAAACTAATCTAAAATTTCAAAGTTATAAAAGATAAATATTTAAACAGACTTACAAGGTGAATACAGCATTTATAATTTTGGGACAGGGATATTTCAAAAAGTAATTAACTAAAAAAATTAAAATTTTGGCAAAATAAATATTATCTAGAAATTTTGAAATATCATAATGAAAATAAATGCACTATTTTTAATATAATCCCGAAATTTGAGCATTAACAAGACATTAATTGTTATTGATTTTTAAAAATTCGCCAAAATTAGTGGCTAAAACGCCTCGTTAAGTGCTGCCTCCTGGTGTAACGCGCCTGTAACTATCGTATCGTACACTCTCACCATTCGTTTCTTGCAACGATTTACACCAGAAGATAGCACTTAACGAGGCGTTTTAGCCACTAATTTTGGCGAATTTTAAAAAATCATTAACAAGACATCAAGGGCTCAAATTTCGCGATTATATTAAGACTAGTGCTGTTGAGGAATGCATTTATTTTCATTATGATATTTCAAAATTTAAAGCTCTTTGATTTTTTCTCGGAAACTAAAATGATTTAAATCTTAAAAGTATATGCATATCTAGATAATATTACCTAATTTATTTTGCCAATATTTTAATTTTTTTAAAAAATTACTTTTTGAGATATCCTTGTCCGGAAATTATAAGGGGTGCTGTAATCACCCTAAGATTATGAATTATGAATTCTGTGTTATTATTAAGATGTACTGCCTATATTTGTAAAGAAGACTTTATAAAATAAGTCAGGAGAGAAATCTTCCCAGCAGCCTCATACATTAAAATCATATCCATTATAGTTCAATGTTGGTCAATTGTTTTGTTAAAGCACATCTTTAAAAGATAAAGAAAAAGCATGTGATAGTTGTGACCTCTACAACCATCATCAGGCTTGTAATACAAAAATTGGTTGTTGTAATATATTTTTTTATTTAAATGGTACTTACTTTTTACATAAAAATCATTATGTATATAAAGTATGAAAACAAATATTTTAGAATTTATTAGTATATCAAAATTCAATTATCGATTTTAGTTAATTTGAGATTGGTATCTCTACTTTCTTGTTCTAATTAAGAGGCATCCCAATCTAATCTAACTTCAGGAAAAAATTATATAAATTTAATTTGAAATTTTGTTTAATGTTCATCTGAAATTCTGTTGAATACGTTAAAAAACATCCTTGACCTCTCGGCTAAATTTTCTCCATTACAAAGCAAATACTACGCCATAAACTAAAGGGCGACGGTTTGTTGACAGCTCTATCCATTAGATGGCGTCCGGTCGCAAATATCAGATATCTCGTGGTCAGTTCTCGGCTGTGGACAAATCGAACCTCCCCCTCTCGCTCCGCAAGACCCTCTTTGATTTATTGGCTTCATTTCCGCCTCTATCTGCTGTCATACTTTCTTATGTCTCATATACAACTCAATTACTAGACAGTCGGTATTTTATTTGGGCTTGGGGGTTATCGCTCTATTACGTTTATTGCTCTGCTGTGTCGGTAATCGAATTCTGGTCTCTGATTGGAATACACAATTCTACTTCGATTGATTTTTCACGATGTCGCTGTCACTAAATAGTATTAATAATAATGTAGTCACTGTAATCATATTTAACTACTTTGATAAATAAAAATAATGAGGAACTTACATATTTATATTTAGTAGAGGAACTTAAAGTTTTTAGGTTCCATAAATCTGTTTTGACCACTTTTGCGATGATGTCTGGCTGTGCGTGTCTGTATCCACGATAACTCAAAAACTGTTAAAGATAAAAACACAAAATTTTAAACTTTAGCTCTAATGCACCCTCCAATGAGCTGATTAGATTCTAGGAATAGTCGGTGCATTGTTTTTCTACTTTTTTCTACTTTATGACCTGTGGCTCTAACAAAATTTTTTTTAATTGACATATGCAGATATTTCATTTTAAAAGATGTTATTGACAAATTTGATAATATTTTCTTGTGTTATTTATATTATATAAAATAATTCAGAACCTGACACCGTGTTTTTTACAACAGTAATTCTCTACTATTTTGCAGTTCCAGGCCTGGTCGTCCCCCCAAGAGAGCGCCAGTGGGACTCAGTTTGGCCGCCACTCATCTACAACATCAACAACAACTCAAAAAACAACGCATGGACAATGGAGACTACCCTTATGAAAACGGACACATGGGTGGTAAGTTACTTTTATTTATATTAATTAATGTAGTGCATAGATTTTCTAAATTATAAAATTATTGTAAATATATACAGTTCGCCTTTGATGAATAGAAAAATAAAAAAAGATTTGAACATTCTTTAGGATTCAGGTCTATTTTACACGTGCATATCTCCTAAACTGTTAGCGCTACCATAAAATTGTAAAGATCTTCTTTGATCAGCAATAGTTTCTTTATAGAATTTTCACAAGATTATATTTCTAGCACTTACCGATTACGATTTAGGGCGCGTTATATTACAGACGCCATTTTGTACGATTCATAGTTTTCGGTTTAGAACACGTCAAAAGTAATCTTAAATTGTTTTCTCGAAATATTCAGATAATTAATGACCTGATATAAAAATATTCATTCTAACAGTCCTGAAATATGATATTTACAAAAAACAAGGCCATATAATAATTTCTATTTTTAGATTAAATGCTATAAATACAAAAAAAGAAAATACAATAAAATAAGATAAATGTCAAGAAGTAGGTAATTCAAAGTTATCTGTGTGTGGCATAATACATCGCACATCCGGTGCAACAACGTCATTAATGCAAGAAAATTAGAAAGTGACTTTTTGTCACAAACTATGCGTAATCTGCTTCTGCACACGGCGGTGCATCAATGTCGTAAATGTACAATAAATGAACCAATATTAATTGATTTTGTTTTTAATATCTTTCAATTTACGAACAGCAAAACTTTAAAATAGCTCCTCTGGCAAAGAGGCAAATAATTTTCAACCTGAACGTGCACATACAACAGAAATATTGTCAGCAAGTATCGATAAGACAACATTCTCTGCCTAATATATGCATGTTCCTATTATACCTGGTTCAATGTACTGGTTCATTGTACTGTACCTCTTATACTTAAAATATAATCTTACATAATATAAATATAAAACTTTATTATCTAAAAAGTAAACAATAATAATATGTTTTTTATACTTACATAGGTAATTGTTTTGACTCAAACCTAAGAATTTTTATTTTCAGTTTCAATATCTTATGTTGCGAATGGGGTATTAATATATTGCGACCTAAAAGATCTATTGTGTCCCCTTCTATCGCTAATGCTGCAAGAAAATGTATCAATGCCTATAAAGATCCAATCCTATTTTCTTAAGGAAGTGTAGGATTTGGAGGAGCTTCAAGTTAGGTAAATCTCCCTCTTCTATTTGATATGCTCCTAGGTATAGTCCTCTTGGATTTTGGAGTGCCACACATTTAGTCATAAAGTTAATGGAGGTTTCATCCTCTTCCTCACATAATCTACATTTACTATCTTCTATTACTTTCAGTTTACTGAGGTTTTATTTGAGTCGTTAATGCCCAGTAAGGATGCATGTTAAAATGGTATCCTTATTCCCTATGTTAGAAATAAAGGTGACTATCGCTTCTCTATCATTCTAGTATATATCCTGCTGAAGCAGGACAGGAAATATTCCATCCACACTTGGAGACTTAAACGGTTCGAAAGTGTTCAGGGTCCACTTTAACAGATTGCTGCTGCATATGTGTTTGGCCACTACAGCAGCTTCTCTTAAGGGTCTGCTTAAATAATTAGAAAAGATGTACTCCCAGCAAAGAGATTTTCGAGTAAGTGGCGAGCTCTTTCCTCCTCACTTTCCGTGAAGTTTCCATTGCTGTATCCACTTTCCCTTTTGCCAGGCCATGCTGCCGCAGATGTAGAGTTAATCTCCTCGCAGAAGCTGAAGCTGTTGCGTTTAGCTATCCTGATTTCTTTGTTGTAGGTGGCAAGTGCCTCGGTGTAGCTCTGTTATAGAGTTTCTGTACTTCGGATCGTAAGTTTGACAGATGACTATTCCACCAAGAAGCATCCCTACTAGTTTTGTATGTTTGATTCGGGCAGCTTGATTCATAAGCCTACAAGTATTGTCTCATTTAGTTCCTTGAGATCTCTTTTCATTTTCAATAATTTCATGTACTATGCTCAAGATAATTTTGAATTTTTGTTTTATATAACGGCAATTTAATTTCGTTTCTAATTTTACAGGTTAGTGTGTCATACATTTTAGAATCTGAAAAAAATACGGATTTTTGTTGAATTGCTTTCTTCATATATATAAGGTGAAACATGTTTGGTTGTTAAAGGGGTGGCATATTCGTGATTGTGGTTATATTGGTATTAACGTATTATCCTATGTTAATAAAATATAGTTGTCTAAAAACAAATGTACCATTCTCACTGTATAACGAATTGGTTGGACAACCCCGTTGAAGAAATATGCAAATGAATTGTTTTTGGAATATTAAATGCAAGTGACTAACTCTTACCAGTAGAAAGAATTTAGAAATAAATGATTTCGGTAAAAGTTGCGTGCAAATGTAGCAAGCGAGTATATTTATAAGCAAAATGAAATAAAATAAAAGGGCGAATGGTCATTCGGTCATTTATTATTTCAAAAATTCCTCGTATTATTGATTTAAAAACCCGATTTTCTTCATTTCTTATTACGGAACATGCAATTCGTGCCGATAACCGTTTTTTACGTGCACGTTTTAAATTAAGAACTAAATATAAATAAGAAATAATATTTCAGAATTACTCCAGGCTACTACTGCCCGTTTTATCAAAAATAACAGGTAAGTACTTCCGTTTCCACTGTACTCGGCCGCAGGGCCGGATTTCGCTTATTTATAGAAACTGTACAACGCAACAACCGGTTGAGTGGCCGATTTTAGAACTCTCTGACAAGCAATTAATTGTAAACAAATCCTGAAACCGCGCCTAGTACCCTCTCTTTTGGAAAGTAAAGTTGCTACAGTTAACGAAGGATAATGAATTATAATTTTTAAACATTCAACGAAAATCAAAAACCATCACACATTTTTCGAAGACCTCTGATCAACAATTCCGAATTTTACCACACTGATAATCGATATGTGTTATACGTTACTCGTTTCTACTTCTAACTTTTGCATGGTAAATTATTCGTAGACACATCTATTTTTATTTTTGTTAAAAACCGTTTCAAATGAACTATCAAACCTCTGTTGTACCGAGGTTTAAATCTGGGATGATATTCTTTTTAAATAAAAATGTTCCTTAGATTATTCAGGATAGGTGTATATTGTACACACCTATTACCAAAAAGTTTGGAACAAACAGGTCATTTTACCCAGATAGATCAATTTGAACAATTAAAGTTTGATTTATGTTTGGAAATTTCCAATCTTTGAATTGTAGGATGATATACCTGACAGATCAAAGACAGTTGGTAGAATTTGATAGATATAAGGTAAAATTGTACATCTCAACTTGCTCACACGACCCTAAGTTTGAGGCCACTATTTTTATCCTTATCTTTGCCAGTTGTACGCAAGCAGGTTTAAATTTAGCTTAGAAGAATGCGGCCTCTTGGGTCTGCTGTATTCACCTATCTTCCCCGTATTCAGCTGCTCTCTTGAAATCGTCCTGATCGTTTGTTCAGTTTCACTAGGTTTTTTACCAAGTATGCCTGTGATACTCTTTCTGAATCTAGACTGAAAATAGCTTGTCGCCGCCTAGATAGAGCTCCTCATTCAGACTCTACAACTGGTGGAGATATTGTGCAATCCTACCACATGAAGGTGTTTCAGCAACAGTGTGAATATATGGAGCCTTGCGGGTTGTGTTTGGTCTCCTTAGCTTACTGATTCTGTGCCCTCTTATCTGTTTTCAATTTGTTGGGTATGTACTAGTCATCCACCCGTTCACTGCCTGTGGAGCAGATATTTCGATATCCCTCAAATACATGTTGGAGTTCTCTGAATGGTAGTTAACGTCCCTCCTTGGCGACCTCATCAACATTTTTATTTTCTTGAATATCTTTATGTTGTGGTACTTACGCCAGTTTTTCCATATTGTGGGTTGCCAGATCATTAAGTATTCCAAGGTAGTTCAATACATACCAGCTTGTACTTAACCAAGGAACTGTTAAGGCTGCTTGGCTATTTGAGAAAATAGAGATGGTTTGATTTTGTACTTCATTTTTAAATTATCTCTTACACAAAACTCGACTGAATGTATTATGAATGATGTTACATTTGGATTTAACTCCATGTACACCAGAGCCTGTTCCTTTGCTAGTTTTAGATCCATCTGTTTACCATACGAGACCCGTAAACAAGTATTTCTGTATCTCCTGTTTTATATTGTTCCAATTGCAATTGATTTGGGAAATTTGTTAAAGGTTTTGGGCTCTCATGTGGTAATTTTACTGTTTCATATTGCTCAGCAGGTTCCAGTTTTTAGAGATATGCACTCATTTTGGCCTCCCTATTTATGACTTAGTCAAAGGATGGTATGTATTAATTGATTTCCAGATTCTCTCGGTATAGTTATCAGCGCTCCTGCAATATAAAAGCATGCCCAGCCTTTATACACCTGAGAAGTTGTTGATGGGAGTTTTCTGGTTTACTTTTGGACACCAAACAATCACTCTATAGGTAATCATGGGTCTTGTTATGGCCGAATATAGCCTGTGGCCCATTCTAGGTTTTATTTCTCATGTTTTACATTTGTTTGCCACTTTTGTAAGTTGATTCCAAGTAAGTTTGATATCTAGTATTAGACCCAGATATTTTTCTTGGTTTGTTTTTTTAGCCTTCCTCCAAACAGTTTCTAAAATCTCCAACCTTATTTTCCGAGTAAAGTTGTGCCTTATCAGGTTTTACAAAGAGATTTTTCCTAGCGCACCACCTTTCTGTTAGCCTTGGAGCCTTGAACCATTTCAGGCATCTTCTGCTACCCCTGAATGGTCCGGGCAGGATCCCCCAATTAAGCTTGGGATCCAGCCTGCCTTCCTTTTTCTGGAATTCAAATGGAGGCACTGTAACCTCCTGTACTTATTGGTGTCTTTTGCATGCCTTACTAGTTTCCATTTATTCAACGCATACATTCCACCGTCTATATGGGTACCGAGCTTTAAGAGTTCGGTCACCCCCCCAAACTATGACTGGTC